CGCTCCCTGTGGCAGAATCTGCCTATAAATGAACAGTTAACTCAGATTCACTGTCACAAAGGAGAAGGACCGCAGGTGGACAGTGGGTGGCACGGTGATTAAAACCTTTGGGTCAAAGGGTTGTGCTGCTATGCTTTGGTATTTGCCAGTTGGTATTTTCCCTTTTTTAATAACGGGTTGAGTAGGTGGGTGATGTAAGGGTGTATAAGTTTCTTTATCGTACAGCATATGCCACTCATGGAAATTTCTTTTTCACTTTAAGTGTGGTTACATTAGCAACCTTTTCACCATCCCTAAGACAACGTACCAGCTCACTAGCCGAATCTCAATAGCTGCACTGATATAATTGGCTCCATGATAATTGATCATATTAATGTACTGATCATATTAATGAACAGTAATAACATTCCCACAAATAATACCTACCTGTTTACTATCCAGTAAAAGCATGGTCAGTCCAGTGATACCTACAGTACCTGTCAAAAGTTTGGACTCGCCATGCTACCTACAGAAGAGAGTGATAGTCACATGACCTGGTCACCTGACCTAATCGCAGTAGAGATGGTTTTGGACGAGTTTGACCAGAGAGTGAAGGAAAAGTGGTCTCCTTCAGAACAGCTTGAAAAGCATCCCAGGAGGCCACCTAATGAAACTGGCATAGAGGATAGGAGTCCATGGAGCAATCGGGGTTAAGGGCCCAATAGTGGGATCACTCTGTCAACACAGGGATTTGAACCAGCAACCTTCTGAGTCCCAACCCACAGAGCTGCCCCATTCCACCCCCAACAAATTTATTTTTTTTGTTTAATATTTTTTTGCCCAGTGCATGATTCCATTTGTGTTATTTAATAGTTTTAATGTCTTTATAATTGTTTTAAAATGTAAAGAATAGTACAAAGAAACCTTTCAATGGGCAGATGAGTCCAAACTTGTGACTTTTTCACTGTATTCACTAAACACATGGTTATGACCTATTCATTAATTGTGCGGCTACAGTGAAAAATGTTTCACTGTAGGCATGCAGTTAGTGGATAGGTAATTAGCGGTTCACTAATCACATGACAAATGTAACGGATTGTGCGCTAATCACATGGCAACCGTAATTACCTGTTCACTAATCATGTTGACAGTAATTGGTTGTTCATTGAAAAGTTTGCCCTGTTTACACAAAATATCCGCTGATTTAGCGCTTGGTCATGGTTCGCGGGCGGGGAGGACTGCTCCTGTTCTGGAGTAGCTGTTTGTCTCCCAGTATGCATTGCATGTGACAGTTTGCCCTTTGAATCCTGCTCTGTTTACTCTGGTTAACAGTTGGCGATTACACTGCCTCCCCCCCGATAACCGTCCAACAGCCTGACTTTGTCAGAGTTGGGTTCAGTCATTTCTGCAGAGCAGCACCAATGACTGCTCACTGAGTCCTAAATACAACTTCAAAGTAACAGCTTTTTCAGACTGGAGTAGAAAATTTAGAACACTAAGTCCTTGAGCTCCAATTGTAATGCTAATATCTCTAATACTGCAATAAAATGCTATAGCACTTGAACCTGAAGACGGCTTGTATTTTGTGTCACGGGGAATAAAAGTGTGAACAGCAGGCATGTGTGTTTAAGCTTATGATTTACTAGCAATTGATGCAAGTCCTTCAAACGCGTGTATAACAGATCCGAGTCAAAATTAGAGACAGATTACAGACTAAAACCATATTGGTATGGCTGCTCGGGGACATGCTGGCTATAGCCCTAACGTGAAGGGCCGAGTGTTTTTCCTGTCTGTGTCGGAGTTGTCTTTGCTGATTCAACTCCGGAACCACTGTGCTATGGCCTGATTTGCTTGATGCTGAACTCTTTTGAAATATTCAAGACTTCCTTATTATCTGCTGCCTGAAGTCTTTCATTACCAGATTCCCAGGCCTCCTGTGACCAGTCCCGCTCTCTGTCTTCTTCTGTATTAGTCATTTACACAGTTTATTTGCATAGTCTGAAATGCCAGAGGTCCTATACTAAATGAGCAATGAAGTAGACCAGGACTGGAGAGAGCAGAGACAGGCAATGGAAGAAGATGCACTTACAGACATGTACATGAATATGAATACACACACATACACACCTGCATCTGTGCACATTAAGACACACACATTCACGTATATGAAAGGAATTAGTGAGCTGGAAATAACTTTATTGTAGGACTTTATGTAGCTAGATTGAATTAGGCATTAGTGTGAAAAGCCCTTAGAGAGACCGCACTTTATTGCCACTTGGCGGAAAATAACTCTCTTGAACACATTCACCTGCTAATGAGTCCCAAATTTGTCTTTTAAGTTGAATTTGCATTCCTTTTTTCCTTTCTTTCCCTTTCCTTTTTTTCTAGCTGTGTGAGTATATTCACCTCCTAGGTTTAAGGCTCTTTGATTTGTATCAATGTATCCAGCTCTGTGTCAGTTACTCCAGTTTCATAGCTCTTCTTCCAGCTCTGTCAGTTGCCCCAGCTGTATGTTTCTGGCAATATAATGTGGAAAACAACCATAATTGCTTCCTGCCACTCATTTCCACTATATTGATTTAAAATGGACCAGCATACATATAATGGCATAGGAATATAATAGAAAAATAACCATTTAAGACTGACTGGGGAGTGTATTTATATTTGTGTCTCTTCCGAGTGGCTGCAGGCTGTGGCTGGCAATGAAGTACAGAACTAGAAATCAAGCGCAAACCAGTCTTAGCTTTTCATTCGAGAAACATCTCCCTCGAGATTACAGCAGTATCGATTGTTTTTCACCGTACCGCCCCTCCAGGCTCCTACTCAGATAAACAGTCCGATTTATTTATAGGGGCTGCAGTTACATTTAATTCAAAAGCACATGTTAGGCATGTAGAGCATAAGCTTGGTGAGACACCAGGATCTGCATCCATCCCTCCAAGCCTTCACTCATATGGGCCGAAATTCCTCCAGGCGCTATGAGTTTGGTTTAGCTTTCAGAGGAAGGTTGGGAATTAATGTGGGGGTAGCTTCCCTCCACACTCCTCGCTGTCTCACTTATCAGTAGTCATGCCACGTTCCATTTAATGAGTTACAGCTTTAACTAGCCCCCAGTCGCTGGTAATGCTGACGTTCAATGGGCTTATTTGCAAGAGGTCCCGTGTCTGTGTAAGCAGGGGAACCATCAGAGGAGCACAGTGCAAACATTAGGGCACCCAGATTGTCCCCTAGCTGTGACCCAGTTTATTTTCTAGATCCCACTTTTGCCTTTGACATCTAAAACCTGCAACAGAGAGATTAAAGAGCAGGAGGAGATGGCTGTTCTGGGAGCGTCATGTGACCGAGTCTCTCCCCCGAATCGACGGCTCACTCTTGCACTCTGCCGTTTATGAGGGTCACTCCTCTTATTCACTAATTGAAATGACTTTGATTCACATGACGAGCTTCAATTACCCATATGGGTGCTCAGGACTGCCTGTAATTTCACTGTTCACTCCCGTGTAGCAATACACATGGTGCGTTTCGGGCTGGCTGTAGTCAACAAACTGGGTATTGTTTTTGCTCCATTGACCTGCCTCCTATGAGAGCGGCTCTGACGGCACAGAGCCCCCCTCTGACCGCGTGTGCATCCAGAAAGCTACGCTGTCAGGCAGATGTAGATGAGAGTAATATGCAGATATTTATAGAGAGCAGCTGCACATTGCCAGCAAGTAACAGGTGGATCGCGAACAAGGGCATGGACTGGTGACACAGAGGTCACTGGCTCAGGACAAATGTCCCTCAAGCACGTCCTGCTGCAGTAACCCCTGAGAAAAGTGCAGAATTGCTCCCGTAAAATGACCAGCTGTACCGATGCTATGATGCTTTGGCTAAGAGTGCTTGTCTTAAGACTATGTTATAAATTCTTCTGTAATTTCCTGCCTCGGTATCTCAGTATCTGACTCAGCTGTCCGCCATGTCTCCTCCCCCCCCCCCCCCCCAACCGCAGTCTCCCCTATAGGCAGATAAAACAAAGACTTCATTACTCCCTTCTGCATGTCAACAAGCTTTCCCAGTAAAATGAGCCTGGCACTGTTTATACCATGTTCATACTCACAAAATCTCTACTTCCCTACCACAAACAAGTGTCCATCAGGGACAAACATCGTTAATGAGGCTGGGAGCCTCGAGGATCTGTGATCTATTCAAAATGCAGAGGCGCTTAAAGGTCAAGTGTGCAAAGGGCCTTCTCTGGGGGCCTTAAAATGTTAATAAAAATCACAGATGTTTACATGTGTTTTAAATGCATATTCAGATACATTTATTACATCTTTCCACTAAGATATGGTCCCAATGTAGGATTAAAACGGGAAAAACAAAGGGAACATTGTTCTTGGTCTGCAGACATATTAGTAGTATTTTAGATAAATGTTGTGAGCTAATATGGTAAGTAATTCATTTTGTTTTTATGTATTGGAATGTTTAAATGGTACTTCCACTGCAGAACTGTCCCGTTTCATTGAACACGGAGTAAAATATTTGCCTATTAAATGCAGTGTTTTCAGTAGAATTGTCATTTTTGTCAACGCAACATTAACAGTTTGAACAAAATCTTTAATGTTGGTGATACAGTAACACTGAGATGTCTCCAGCATCACTTACCAGGGAATACAGTTTACATGGTTTTTGTTGTGAAATTAAACCTGTCAGCACCCATTAAGAGAACTATCAATTTTCCAGATGTTTCTGAGCATGGGAAGACGTCTGTTTCTGTCTTCAATTACACTTGCTTGTACTGAATGAGCTGTGGTTTTTATGTTTACTAGCCAGATTGATGCCTTGATCTTCCTAGCCGTGCAGAATCAGGTCTTGTTTTCACAGTCTCCATTGCAGTCCTTTGTGTATAACTGAGAGAAAAAATATCCCTTTCCTTTCCTGGTATGGGTGGTTGACTGTGTGATTGAGCATGAATGAGGCAGTAAAGCTCACCGTCTATGAGACACGTTTATTAGGATTTTTCCCTCTCTTTGTTCCTCTCCCAGCTCGGTGGCTGTGGGATCCTTGGGGTAGGAGTGTGGCTGTCGGTGACACAGGGAAACTTTGCCACCCTCTCCTCCTCCCTACCATCCCTGACTGCTGCGAATGTCCTCATTGCCGTGGGGACCATCGTCATGGTGATAGGTTGCCTGGGGTGTGTGGGGGCAGTCAAGGAAAGTCGGCCCCTGCTTCTGAGTGTGAGTATCCTGGATGTCTGCCTATCTATCTATCTATCTATCTATCTATCTATCTATCTATCTATCTATCTATCTATCTATC